ATTGATGCAAAGTTATGTGATACATTTGATTTTTCTAAACTAAAATTTATTTGTTATGCAAAAATATATAATAAAAAATATTTATTTTAAACAGTAAATTAATAAAAACCATACATAATAGATATATAATATTATAAAAACAAATTAATGAATAATTTCACTCCTGAAAATTCGAAGAAGATGTCTGAATGGAAAATTAGCAGTTGCACTTGAATATTTTTAAATGAATAAGACCAATGACCTGTGACCAGCCCGTCCATACCACATTTTGGAAAAAGTTGCTTGTGTTTTGGATGACCAAGAATTTTTAAAAAGGAAAATGTTTGGTGGGAGAGAAAATGAAATAAAAGAAAAAGTAATAATAAACATGACATGATAAGCAAATGCCATTTCATTTAAAAAATGAGATATTTTTTTAACTCAAAGTGTAACAAACTACTACAATATTATTAGAGTAATTGCATGGTACTTAAAGAAATTAACCTTGCAATTGTATTTCCATGCTTGGCTTCAAAGCTTAACCATCAACAAACATAAAATTCCATTAATATGGATATTATTGAGAGAATTTACTTTTCTGACGTTATATATTAAATTGTACAACATAAAAATCCTCAAAAAAAAAAAAAACCCACAAAAAATGAGATATTAAATAATGGAATGACTCTCAAAGATTATTCTTGAAATTACAGGTCCCTTGCGTGATTAATTTTTTAAGGTCAATATCCAATTTCATCATCGAATTGAATATCTGTGGTAATATTTTTTTACTCTGTCAGTATTGATGGTTTTATTACTTTCATACTTAAGCAAATTTTAAAAATTGAAAGTGTAATTAATGCTATAGTTTTTTTAGTGATTAATCTGGTAATAAAAATTATAACAATTTTTTATATATAAATTTAATGCATACCTGTTCAAGGGTAGAGAAGTTATCACGAATAAGAGCATACTTCTTGGCTGCAGATTGCTTATTGTCCATGACTGAAGAGCTTTGTTTAGAGTCAACTCTCCCAAAACTTGGTTTCTTGGAAATGGATCGTGATCGCACAGGTGGTGGTGGTGGCGGTGGTGAGGGTGGTTCGAGAGTTGGATATAATATTGGTGGTGGTGGCAACGAGGAAGATATCTGTGTTGGAAAATTGGTTGGTAAACCTCTTGTAGTCATGTTGGTGTAGATTCTTCCACCTCTTCCTTTATCACGGCTTGAACTTTGAGTGCCATGCTTTTTACTTTTGCCAAAGAGGTTGCCCATGGCATCTTCAACTAGTTTCTCCAAAACTCAATTAGAGGTATATATATGTCTTAGTGATAAGATAAGAAGAAAATATAGCATATTGTTTTTATATAATGTAAGAGGAAACGAGTAAGAAGGTTCGGGACTGATTCTTCCAACAAGATTATACCACTAAACAAAAATAAAGGTGATGGGGTTGAAGAATAAAGAAAAATGAGTAGGGAATGGGATTCTTGGTCCTTTATTTTGCTTGTGAGATTTGCACAAGTTTCCTCTTGTGACTCGATCGAGAAGCTGAAGAACTAACCAAGTGCCACAACCAGAGTGTTCTTTCAATGACCTTGCGTGTGAAAGGGTGCGTATAAAATCAAGGAAAAAAATCTCAGAAAACCCTTTTCCTATTTAATACTCTATTTAGTACTGTGACTGTGAGAAATAAAATTAATGAATGAAAATTAAATATGTTTGGAGAAATAATACAAATAAGAAAAAAAAATGAAAAGAGATAAGACAGATTAATAAATATAAATGAGGCATAATACAATGTGCCTTAATTTTTATTTTATTTTTAATTATTTCTCTTATCTTTCTCTCCTCAACAATGTATCATAATTTCATTTTAATTATTATTATTATTATTATTATTATTATTATTATTATTTATTTTAATAAAAAGATGTTTAGCCATCAGTATACTAAGAGATATCAGCTAGATTATTTACCTATCAAATATTGGACCTATCTATTTTATAACTTAACCTTGACTCAAATAAGAGAAAGCCCACAAGATCAAAATATCTACACAAAAAAACTATGGGTCGGTACATCATATTGACCAATTTATTTTCAAAGTAAAAAAAAATACCTTACAAATAAGAGTTTACAAAATACTTATAAGAAAAATATTAATTTACTTCAATTTTTTATTATTTATGACCTAATCTATGATTCATATTTATGATCTAATATATAATGAAAATTAAGGAGGAAAAAAATATATATTTCTATAAAGAATACAAGCAAAAAACATAAGTCTTATAAGATCAACCATAAATTCAAATAATTAATTTTAATTACAAATTAATATTTACACATGGTAAAAAAATGAAACTTCTATGCTTAACACGTCAACCAGATTATATTATTATTTTAGTAATGAAAACATTAAAGGAAAATGCAAGTTTCCGTTCGTTCTTGATTATATAAATTTGAAAAATAATTTATCTTGATTCTCAATCATATAAATTTGAATTTTTTTAATTATTGATTTTAGTATCACTTATCATATAAATTTATATCTTTAAATTTCCCTTAAATTTGAATTAATTTTTTATTCTAACTTATTGATAAGCAAATAGATGATTGGTTTAGTTAATGTTTATTGGGTCATTTTGATCAATTTATTAATGTTTGTGATTTTGATAAAAATAATTTTTCCATTCAAGATTCCACCATCTTTCTATAGACACATTAATCAGAAAGCACCCTTATATACAAGTCTACTTTTGAAAATAATGATATTATTAATAATTGATTTTCACTCCAACCACTCATTCTTCCAACAAACCAATAAAATCTTTTAAGTTACTTATATATCAATCCTAAATTTGTTTTTGAGGATGATGTTACTCTCAATTATTAACTTTTACCTCGATAATGTTGGGAATATTATTTTATTGACTTTTATTTAAATTAGATATTAAAAGATTTTATTATTTTATAAGAGAGAAGATAAAAACATATTAGGTTATTATTTTAATTTAGGCAGTTATGATTAAGATATTATTAATATTTAATATTTTGTAATATTTTTACTCTATATATACATAGAGTACATGAATAAAAATATACTCACATGATATATTAGAAATACACATACACAAAAACCCTAAAAATTCTCATAAGTGGTATCAAGAAGTACACATGATATTCAAATTTTTGATGACAATAGTTATGACTTATGGGCTGTGAGAATACAATCTTATCTTGAAGGATTGAATGTATGAGAAGTTGTGGAAGAAGATTATATTGTTGATCCGTTACCTGAAAATCTCACCATAGCTCAAATGACATTTAACAGATAAAGAAAAATGAGGAAAACAAAAGTTAAATCATGTCTGTTTGCTGGTGTTTCACAAATGATCCTTACCAAAATTATGATGCTAAAGTCACAAAAAAAAATTTTGGATTATCTGAAAGATCAATATATGGAGGGGACGAGAAAATTTGAGGTATGAAATTTCTAAACTTGATAAAGGAATTTGAGATACAAAAGATGCAAGAGTCTGAGACAATTAATGAATACTCAAACAAATTAAAATTGTTAGTAAAGAAATTTTCTGATTTCAGAATAGTTGAAAATTTTTTTGGTAATTGTGTCAAAGAAATATGAAATATCTATTGTTTCATTGGAAAATACAAATGATTTGTCTAATATTACTTTGGTAGAAATGTTACATGTTTTACAAGCGCAAGAGCAACGAAGATTGATGAGAGGAAATCATGCTGCTGGTGAAGGTTCTTTACTATATCATGGTGAAATTTTTCTCCAAGACAAAAACAACAAAGGTACAAAATCACAAGTCTTTTCTGTCTATCCTTATTGCAAAAAAAAATAATCACACACCCAACAAGGTGGATGCTTGATGTGAAATGTTGAAAATGTGATCAATTAAGATATATAGAAAAGATATGTAAATTACAACTAGAGGAAGTCGTCAAGATTATAGAGGATAGAGTAGAACACTAACTTCTTCTTGCATCAACATGCTTTATAATTAATAAATCCACAGGTTGACTTATAGACAGTGGTTGTACAAACCACATGACTCATGATCGACAACTTTTTCAAAGAGCTCAATGAATCACTTATTTTTAAAGTGAGAATCGGTAATGGAGAACAAATGAATGTGAAAGGTACGAGAACAAATAGATGTGAAAGATACGAGAACAATTGCAGTTAAAAGTCATTAGGGTATCAAATTAATTTTTGATGTTTTATATATTCCCGATATTAATCATAATTTGTTAAGTGCTCGCTTAATTATTGGAGAAAAGTTATAAGGTGTCTTTTGAATACAAATTTTATGTGATTAAATATGCAAATAACTTGGAAATGTTCAAAATTCACGTGAAAGAAAAAAGTTTTACTTTAAATTGAATGAAAAAAGAGTTAAATACAACAACAAAAAATATAAAAAAAAATAAAGAAAAAACATAAAGAATATTTTTCTAACTTTGATTAAAGAGTCCCTGTAGTATCATAACAAGTTTGAAAGAAACAAAAATATTTGTTGACTTGTAACTTCTTTTTATTTTTCTGCAATAATACTTCGACCTTTTTATCTGTATATCCTCTCTTATCTCCGCTTGTTTGTTGTGCATGCATTTGTGTTAAAGCCTTGCCGTTCATGTTCTTCGTCGAAGAGAATATAATAATTATTCTTATTGTATAATCAAACTTGTAGAAAACCATAGACTACTAAAGTTCCTGGATTGCAAATATGTTTTCTATGTACAGTGTTAAATATAAAAACATTACTTTTGTTGCATCTAAATGTTTTAATAAGTGCGTGTTTTCATGAAAAAAGTGTTGGGTAGTTTTTGGTTTAGAGTACGAAAAAGATTGAAAAACACATCCAAATTATTAACATTACGTGGAGATTATAATTTAATTGAAATCATAGAAAAAGTACATATTTTTAATGGTCTCCACAAATTAACACTACCAAACCCCACAAATTCTTTTCCCTGTCTAACTTATTCAACACACAAAGGAAGCATTAACATTGCTGTCACTGCAATAGAGACCAGGCTTCTGAGAAAAACCCTGCCTCTTAAGCATCATCCTAGCCTTCAGCACAAGCTCCCGGTTTGTCACTGCGCCTTCACTCTCTTCAATTATACCCTTAATTACATTGCTGAAAGCCCCATAAGCTGATCCAGAATTTCCACCAGGACTTGCATCTGCAGAAGTTTGGTCACTCTGGCAACCACTCAGCAGAATCCCACAATCCAAAACATTGCGCTTGATTGATGCAGCATGTTCCTCTTTCTTGCTCCCCCCACGTTTTTTTGCCATCTCATCACCATCATCATTTAGCTTTTGTTCAATGAATTTTTGTGCAAGATTCCCGATCCCCACAATTCCGTGCCCTCCACTCTCACCACTTTTTCCATGTTGGAGTTTGTTCATGACTAAATTTGTGAACTTCTTCACTTTGGGGCTTACATCTTCCCCAAAGATGCGGAAGAGTGAGTGCCTTAGTTTCCCAGTTTCTATGTCTTTGCCACTTTTCTGCTTGAGTATGTCTGTGAGAGTTGAGAGAGGCAACGATCGGTTCTTCACAATGGTTTCTTCTTCTTCTTTTTCTTCTTGCATGTTTAGATGGAGGAAGTTTTTGAAGTGAAATAAAGAGTTTGAACTGTGGCCTTCTTCGTTTGTGCTGTCTCCTATTTGTTCCTTCGCTGCTTCAATCAGGCCACCACTGTGGCAGCAATCTGAAACTATTGTGATTCTGCAACCCCTTGGGACCTTGTCTACAAATTGTCTGAAATCATCATCTGTCGCCACACAAATGTAACAGTTGGCATTGCTTCTCACTTGTTAGTTAATGTAAGACTTAAATTATTTTTAATAAAAAAATTAACAAAACCATATATATTTTGTGTGATCGGATAAAAGTGTACAAAATGCATATAATATTTACTGTATTCAATTTCATTATCACATTAAAAATGCGGGAAAAGATTCAACATACATCAAAATTAAGCACAATTTCTTCTGAAAATCCTTAGATTTTTAAATATTATTTTGAAAAAAAAAATCACCGAAATCATTATACTTTGGCATTGTTTTGGTACAAAAGATTAGTACGTGAGTCACCACTGTTCGCAGAAACTTTTCTCACAATAGTTAAAATTTGTAGTGTAAAGAATATATATTTAAATATACAATAATTTAAGTTTTCCATCCATCAATATTGTATTTTCACTGTATATAAACAATTTTAGTTTTATAATTTTTTAAATAAATATATTAAAAAGAGAAATTACTATACAATATTCAAAATAATGGTATTATTTCGCATAAACATTAACCAAAATTAAAAACACGTGCGTAATAAGTCCGAAATTATACAATAATAGTTTTTCTATCAAATTTCATATATAAAATAATTTAATTTCGTGTAAAATAAAACAAATCAAACCATAAACACGTATAATTTTGAAGCCTACAATAATTTCTCAATAAAAACATATAATTAATGAAAACACATATGAAACATAACATAGTGAATGTTCGCGAGTTAACTTACCAGTGATGAGATTCATATCTGTCGGAACAATGCATTCATCATAGCCGGTGTTGTCTTCGTCATCATCCTCGGCCGGAAGGCGCGTGCCGTGGCCACTGTAGTGGACGAAGAGGACATCGCCGGGCTTGGCCGACCGGAAGAGGTTGGACAGAGCGAATCTGATGTTCTTGCCGGTGGGTTGGGTGTAGGAATGATGAGTATCAATGAGAACAACAATGTGTTTTTGTGAGAAACCATATATGTCGATGAGGCACTTGTTCATACTCCACACATCAGTAATGCAACCTCTCAATTCAGCCTTTGTTCCTGGATAGTTGCATCCTATTACTCCCCTCTTAACCATTACGCACTTCAATGTCTTCTCTCTTTGGAGGAGAGGGAAAACGAAATGAAGGGTTCTTTTGATGTTGTAATGTTGTTTATACAACATGATCAAAGAGAAATTATTAGATTTAAATTAATTAATTATTAATTGTATTAATTGTTTGTACTCCTTTTTGTATAATTAGAATTTGGTATTTGGATTTTTATACATGGTAAAATATATCGTGCCTTACGGAAATTTTTGGAATTGCAGTTTAGGATTCATATTACTTGAATTAATATTTATTTTAATATTTTATTATAAAAGATATTGATATTGTTAAAGATTATGATTTTATTTTCATCTTCATATTTTTTGTTTTTCCATTGATTGGCTTACGTACTCATTTAATGTTTTTAATGAATACTATCTACGGGTTTCAAAGGACTGTACAACATGTATGATTTCTATATATAACAAAAAAAAAATTTGATATGTTTATATAAAAAATGTATGTCGTCATTAAAAATAATAATGAATTTTTCATTAATATTTATTATAAAATATATCAATAAAAACGTAACTATTTATAAAGTTAGATTTTGAGTTGGAAATTTGAGTAAACATGATTATCCGTAATTATTTAAATATATTATTTATAATTCAAAAAAAAATAGTTATTTTTATTTTTTTAATGAATGTATTTCATTTTATAATGATAATTAAACTAATTCATGTTAGCAGAAAACATTTGAATGGTCGGTCTTTTAATTCATGTTAAGAGTGATCTCTTTCTTCTATGTATCTCTAAATAAAATAGAATATGATAATTAGGTAGTTTTGTGATTAGAAAATACTTATGTCTTGACATTATTTAAATTAATTAATTTAAAATATATATATATATAATTGACGAGTATAAACTTGATAAATATTTTCTTATATTTATCATTGTTATTATTATTATTTTAATATTAGAAATTCATGGATAAATTTAAAAGAGATGTAATGAATCTTGAAAATAAAATGGATATTTTTCTTGGAATCAATATAGATTAAAGATCACGTTACAATGGTTTTCTTGTTTTAAAATACTATGAATTAATAATCAATAAGTTTGAGATAAATATGATTTAATTCTATGCATGACCATAATTAATGTTCATTCTTTAAAGCATAATCAACGTACTTAAATTCAAATTGTGAAACAAATGCCACAATATTACATGAAATATTTAAAGAATTCCTGATTGATATTCTTCTAATTTTAATGTTACAAATTCATAGGACTATCTATTCTCTTACGATATCCAGATTTTGCGATTTTGAAAAAACGTCTACAATAAAAGATGCAAAAATTGAAATTTTAAAAAACTGTCAGTATCACCATCTTTTAATGTTGCTTAAATACCTATTTAAGCTTATATCTAAGACACATTCATCCCATCTTGCATCTTGCTTTAAATTATATATATATATATATACCAAAGAAAAATCATAAAATTAGTTTTAATTACATGTTTTTAAACAATATTTTAATAAAAAAAGCAATTTTTTAATATCATAAAAGCAAATTACTTTAAAGTCCCATGTAACAAAAGTTAATTTAACATGCACACCTCCAAACACGTACTGGCAACCCGATGGGTTACAGTTCTCTAAAAAAAAATTCATATTCGTCGGAAATCAATAAACATGAATTTTATCAATTAAATTTATATATTTATTATTACGTTTTTCTCATCTTTAATAATAATATTATTATTAACTTAAAATACAAAAATTGGTTTCGGTAACCCATTTAATCCCTTCATTATTCATGTTCCACCAAAATATATTTATGAAAAATCAATTATAAAAATATTAGTCCGGAACCTACTTTCCTAAATATATTTTTGAATTTTTTTGTTCAGAATGTAGGTTCGGATAGTCTTTTCTGAAATGTATTCGGAACACCTAATCCAGAATATATTTTCATATTGATTTTTCTATAAATACATTATGGAATGGGTGTTCGAAATACATTTTCAAAAAAGTCAATCTGAAAAATGCTCCTTGCAATGCTTGAATATGTCTATTCTTGAAAGAATTTTACATATTAGATATGACACGTTTCATAGTTATTTTATAGTTAATCTCTCATGTTTTGCTACAAATTAACTACGGAATAACTATGGAATAGTTTGTCGCTAAATCCGAATTGTAACATCTCAAAAATTTAAATATATTTATAATAAAATAAGCATATATTAAAAGAAATTTGTTTTTATTGATAAATTATTATAATATATATATATATATATATATCTATTTGTTATATTTATAAAAATGAAAGAAAAGAAAATTATCTATATATATCTATTTGTTATATTTATAAAAATGAAAGAAAAGAAAATTATCTTTATATATATATATATATATATATATATATATATATATATAAAAGATAAAGTTATCTTATCTTAAAAGATAAACCTTATCAAAATCATAATTACTGCATTTATGGTTACGTAATTAAATAAATAAAAAGAAAAAAAATGCTATAAAAAGGGAAAGGGGGAAGATGAGTAGGAAGAAAAGGAAGTAGGAGAGAGAAATAGAAAGAGAAAGAGAAAGGGAGAAAGAGAAAGAAGGAGAGAGAAATAGAAAGAGAAAGAGAAAAAAAGAGAACGGGAGGAAGAGAATGAGAGAAAAAAAGAAAGAAAGAGAGAAAGATAAGGAGAGAAAAGAAAGAGAAAGATAAAATCGTCTCTGTAAAATTTTGGTACCTCATCCGCAGTTTTTAAGGTAGGAAAAGAGAATATTATCATTAAATCTATTTTATTTTGCTTATAGTTGTGGAGTGAGGTGTCCCTAATCTCATTCTATTTATGTCTAACTACGTAATGGTTCTGCCTTATGCTTGTTTATTTTATCTCCGGTCTTACACTGGTCTTATTTTAATTATCTCCGAGTTATGTACTCGGTCCTGTTTGTTTATTTTATTTTATCTCCAGTCTTATGACTGGTCCTATTTTAATTATCTTCAATTATATACTTGGTCTTGTTTGTTTACTTTATTCTATCTCTAGTAATGCAACGATTCTATTTATTAATTTATAGTTATATTATTTAATTATAATAATATCTATTTATGAAGATTTGATGATATTGTAGATGGAGGTTGGACCTTGGAGATTTAAATGAGTAAATATCAATGTGAAAGTGATTAAAATTGGGCTCATTTATCCCGACTAGTCACTACAAATTTAATTTAAATCTTTATAAAATAGAATGAGTTGAGGAAGTTGAAACATATATATATATATATATATATATATATATATATATATATATATTATAAGATTGTATTATTGTAAATGATAAATGTTCTCACTCCCTATTGTAATCTTTTGTGCATGTTTTATTTAAATACCAACTTAAGTAGATGGAGACGCCAAATATTCCAAATCCCTTTTCTACAAGCATCACTGTCTTCTTTCCAGGAACTACTTGAAACATGAACGTTATAGACAACTCAGTTACTTTTAGAAGGACAAGATTATCAATAATAACATTTGTATATGATATAGGAAATCTCATTATGTTAGATGAACAAGTAGTGGTTACCTTTTGTATGTCTCCTACCTTTTTCCAAAACCTCTTAATCGAGTTTGTTTCCACTGGCAATATAGATATTTGTAAAATTGTAGAAAAATAGAAGGAATTAAAAATAAAATTCCTTCTTCTTTTGCATATCTATATATATATATATATATATATATATATATATATATATATATATATATATATATATATATAGTGATGTAAATTACTTTTACATATATGTAATATTTTTTTTACCTGCTACTCTTATATAAATAATAATAATAAGAAAAAAATGTCACAGGAGTAGCTAATTAGATAGAGATGTATTCTTTCTCAAATTTGTAGCAAATTTTATCGTCAAACTGTCGTCAAGTCCCTCGCTAATTTAAATGATGAAATTTTGTTTTTCTCTAGCTAATTGATCTCCAAAAACTTGTAGCTAATCCTTCGCAATTTTTCTCTCGTTAATCCATAGTTAATCCCTCACAATTTCACTCTCGCTAATTCGTAGCTAATCCCTCGTAATTTTTCTCTTGCTAATCTATATCTCATCCCTGACAATTTATCTTTAGCTGATATGTAGTTAATTCCTCACAATTGTTTCCTCACTAATCTGTAGTTAATCCTTCACAATATTTCTCTCGCTATTTCATAGCTAATCCCTCACAACTATTATCAAAATTCTTTTATCGTTAATCCAGTAGCTAATCTATTGCTAATCCGTAACTAATCTTTCGTTAATCTGTAGCTAAATTCTCGCAATTTTATTGAAGTAATAAATATTCCTGCTAATATATCATCATAATATTATAATATCAAATGTTTAACATTTAAATTATTACTCATTCTTGAAAAAAAAACAGACAAACTTATCAAATTTCAATATAAAAATATTGTTTAAACATAGTTAAAATGATGTTTCAAACAATTAAAACATAACAAAAATAATATTTCAACTAAAAAGTTCTTTATAACCCAATTAAAAATAGAAACAAAGTTTAAAGTACATTTTCATCATTGTTTCTTTAAGGAAGATAATAAATCTTTCATGAAAGACTGCATTTCTTCTTGCATTTGTTGTTGCATGAGTATTTGTATTTCTGCTTGTGTCTTCATTTGTGCTTGCGTATCGAGTTTGTGCTTGCAACTGTGTTTTCATCTCGCTCTTGCAAACTAGATATCTGTGTAGCTAAAGTAATGATTTCTTCGAGTGAGAGGTGTGGTCAGATTTTGGGAAGAGAGACCTTCAACTAATGAAGATGAAACATGTGAAATACCAAGATCCAAACTATGACTTATACCATAAATTCTACCTTTTTTATTTTCACCAGCAGTCTTTATCCAAAGATCAGAATCAACTATAGGATGATTTGATGTATCTTCCCCATGTTTTTCAGTCATAGCATTTTCATATGATTCCTACATCAAATCAATATTTTAGCAATATTATA